TGCAGTAAAGAAAAGCAAACTAATGAGAATTATGTTGTTCCATTAGAGAATTAAACTTCTTCCTTGAAGAAGCAACAAGTAACCACTTTTCTTTCTACCATAGTTCAGCTTGAGAATAAAGAGATCCAAAAGGGAAAAGTCACAAACACCCTCAGGCCAAGGTTACACAAGCATAGCTGTAATTCAGGTCTATTCCTACTTCTTGGGACTATCACCTATGGACAAGGATTAAATTACAGGATTGCCCATTGGAGTGCCGGGCTGTTACAAAACCTGGACCTCGGTGACACCTCTGTACTGGTTCAAATAAGTGTAAACAGCAGCTTGCATCATACGAGAAGCAATGAGCAAGTCCTGGCTCCCTTTCTGCCTGTCGCAGGAGACGTTAGGCTGTGTCCCCACTTGACTCCCCATCGACACATCATGGGCAGCTTCAATAAGTAGACAGGCCCTGATCTTGTCTTTAGGGGAAACTCAGTAAAACTAAACTGCTTCATTTTCTTGTTGGAGAAGGGTATGATAAGCCACTTCAGCTAAGCTATAAAGTTGAAATATTCAATTGCTTAAAACACACAGTAAGAGATATGACCCCAACTTCACTTCTTCAGGACTCCTATCAACACAGGATGATGTCAAGACAAATGTCAGTAAAAAAGACAAAATCCCAAACCAGAAGCACAGACACCAGTCTGTGTTACTCCAAAGAAATATTTCTTAATGCAGTAACTATAGATTTACACATATACAGATTTGCACTATATAACATAGGCTTATAAGTTTTAAGCTACCAGTTACCAGTTTATAAGTTTTAAGCTACCAAAGTACCAGTTCTCACCTTGAAATAATCCTGCTAACAACTACCTCCAAATTCTACCTTCATTTATGAAATACAAGATGTTCAAAACATACAACAGTGATTTAAAAATAACAATCACTTCCCACTCCCTGGGCCTTCAGGGTTAACCCTCTATCACACTTGTTTTAATTTTTCCACTCTCATAAATGTGCTTTCTCTGATCTGAGCCTGCTCAGCTCCTCTTTGGAATTTCACAGCTGTGTACTTTCCATTACAGTATTGCCCCCAATCAAATACCTCAGTTTATATACATTCTTCCCTCCAAGAAGGCTCCTTCCCTCTAAAAGGGCTACCTACTGTAATACCACCCTACTGTGTCATTTCAGTCATCCACCCACTCAGCTAATCAAACACTCCCAAGTGAAATCAATAACACAAAGAGCAGGGGGTAAAGCACCTACACCTTTACACAGATAAAGGCTTAGTTTGACCCTTGAATACTCCCACTTTAATTTAAGGCAGTGTCTATATTCCTACACTTGCTCACACAAAACATGTGATATTAAGCAAGAAGGTAGCTCGAGCCTTTTGTTTTCCCTCTTAATATGGTCTTATTTCAAGGCAAAGACTGAACAAAGGCATCCTTGTATGACCTTTTCAGTATATGAAGAATATGTTTGCAATGAAATCTTGTGCCCTGAATACATTTTTTCATACCTCACTTTTCATTGGATCACGTAAGGACTACATAAATATCTCCTCTGTTTGCAGTGCTCTTTAGCAGCCTGCCTATTCTCAAGCATTAATGCTTTTTTTGATGAATTTCAAGACCTCTGACCTAGCCAAGAGGGTGACAGAAGCCTTCTCCCAGCTTCAGCAGCTTAAGTGTAGTTAGTTGCTCCCTTTCATCAAGATACTAAACCAAATTGCTCTTTTCCTTTCTGGCTATCAAATATATATTTAGCACTAGGCTTTTTTTGGGCTATAACAAGTTGGCTGGCCTATACTTATCTTTCCAAAGAAAGGCTTCTTCCAGACAGCTCAAAATCTGGAAATTTAGGTTATGCCAGAGGAAGGGAGAAATCATAGCTTCTAAGTACCAGGCCACATTAACACAGCCCCCTTTTTCTTTTTTATTCCCAGTAAGAAGCAACCCTAAAACACAGAGATCAAAGAGCAAGCCAAAAGTTGTCTCTCACGTTCTGCACAAAGATGCGGTTTTCCCTAACCTCTAAAGAACACCAGTTTTATGCCTATACCGAAAATGAGACAGTACTCATGATAGTGAACTTAGCATTTGAAATAAAAAGAGGTAGGACAGACTTCCATAAAAAAAGGGTTAAAAGAGTCCTAACCTAGGCCAAAGACAGCACATTGAGGAGGCTCAGGTGACATGATGGCTGGAGCTATAAAAAGCTGTAGTCAGGTGGTAGAAGTGTAAAGGAAGAACATTTTTTTAAAATATCTTTTTTTTTTTCCCCAGTGCTAGAGAGGACAGGAAAAGAAGGAAAGAACTCTTCATTGGCTTGTGAAAAAAAAAAAAATAGAATAACACTACTCTGCTATCTTGGTATGGAGAAAACAAACGAATAAAGATACTGTGAGAACTTAAAACAACTATTTTGATAAAAATGAGGGATTTGGTAGGTTATGTTGATATTTCCCACATTCTATATGTGGTGGAAAAATAAAGGGATGAGAGTAGAATATGTGGGATGTGTATTTAAAGTGCCTAGAGGAGAAGAGAGGGAAAAAAAAGAGGTGAAGAAAGGACGGGAAAGAAACCTGTGGTAGCTGACTTGAAGAGCACTTCCACTATATATCTCTTTATTTTAACTACACTGACACCAACCTTGCAAGGAATTAGCTACATGATTCTCTGTTCTTGTCTTTACTATATAATACTTTTTACTAAGGCTAATGAAAAATTCATTCTTCAAAGCTTTAGCATGGTTTTTGACAGGTCATAACCACAAATATGAAACCTGTGTAGAGACTATCCAGGATGCAGCTTAAATTTAAGTGCAAGTGGCTCGTAATTGTTTTATCTGTGTTGGAATTCAAACAGTTTTGCATAATAATGCAGAACTTACTGAAAAAGAGAAGGAGAGAAGGAGAGAAGGAGAGAAGGAGAGAAGGAGAGAAGGAGAGAAGGAGAGAAGGAGAGAAGGAGAGAAGGAGAGAAGGAGAGAAG